TTCAATATCACCCCCAACCCTTGGGAACATAACATTATCCCCAATCTTTCATTTGGGAGCATCACATCTTTCAACCTCCTTACATTCCAGATTTGGCTCTCTACATCTGGATTTTCCCTAAATTAAAAATTGCCATTTAAATGCTTAAGATGAGGTCAAGGAGAAAACAAAGCAGTAGCAGATGATCCCAAAAGAGGATTTTGTATGCTGTTCTGGGAAGTAAAATATGCATGAAGATAAATCTGTAAGATCCCAAATTTGTATGGAACTAAGGCATCATTGTTCAAAACAGTTTATTTTTTCATTAATATTAAATGCTTTGATACATTCTGTACAGACCTGGTATGCAGCCGTATCAATCTAGAATGTCAGAATTATAAGTCAAAGATTGAATGATCTCATAGAGTAGAAGGACAACAATTATACAGACAGATTGTCAGATCAAATAGAAATAGTGGAATTGAAGGCAAATAACAGAAGAGATGACTCAGTCCCAAGAGATTAGGAATAAGAATGGAACATTATCGATACTCATTAAATTAAGCTCACAAAAAAAAAAAGAAAAAAAAAGTCTTCCATAACTGTTTGTATTCGATGTGAAATAAAATTATTTTCATAACCCCAGGCTGCTATCATAAATTGTGTATGAAACACAAAACTAGAAAGATGATTGGCTGGTTCTTTGAAAACAGACAGTAATATATAAGCAGCCAAGAATTCACCAGACTTTGATAAAATCTGTAGTGCATCAGAATAGTTATTGGTAAGATTCCATATTTGGTTGGAAAAACATTTTTAGCATAAAATCAACTTACAGACAAGATTAAATGAAGCCCAAAACTACAAAATAATAATTAATCTTAAGCTAATCACTAGAATTAATTTGAAGTCAATATTTTGAAAATTCTATCAGCCAAATGCCACTGCTTCTTGACTCTAATGAAACATAAGCAGAATGGTACTCTTTAACTAGGGATAACCTTGTACCTGCAAAAACTTAAAATGTACTGTACTTAGTGGCATACAGAATGAATTGCTATATAAAAAGCATCCTTGTTTCAGAATGAAGAATGGGTCATGGAAAAAACTTTCAATCTAATGTTGTTCTTTCAGCCTGGGAGTTGTCGGGGTGCCGATGTACTGAGTTATCCACCATACTCCTCCATTTATTGTGGTCATATGATAGAGCCTGGGTCTTCACAAAAGGTTTCTTGGCGTGCTCATCATGTGGTGTGTCTTGGGCTTTTTAATCTGGTGGAGGCCATCCCTCTCCAGGTTAGACCAAAGCCAATGTCCTCCAACAAGGTGGTTTGCCTTGGTTGCAAACATGTGGCCATTGTAGGAACCCTTCCACCATGGCCGGTGACCTGCATTGAGGAGGTCCTTTGCTCAGTGGTTCCATGTCCACACCACCCCATCATGTGAGTTTACCCCGCCAGCTGAAACGGTTTACCAGGGCATGGCAACTTGGCACCATCATGTGAGAGATTTAGCAGATGGTTGAATACCAATGATGCCCATCCATCTGAAGGTGCAGCGTGCTTGACAAAAGTACTACCTCTATCCAGATCCCCTAGGCCCACATATATATATTTTATACTGGATGTCAGCTAGTCATCAAATATAGCACTTTAACAAATATTACTATATATTTTTCAAAGGATATCAATAGAAATGAAAGAGTGGACGAGTTTCATGTTTATGTAGAAGAATTTTTAGTTGCTTGCTGAGAAATTTATCATATTGATATTTATGTGTATAATTTACATTCAGATAAGATTGTATAATATTTAGCCGCAAGATGAACAACATTGTTAGGTCATTAGAGATACACTTGTAATTCTTGAAAGTGACTAAAAATTAAAATATAAGAGTTTAAAGCAAGTAGTGCGAAATCAGAATAAAAAAAGTAGCTACAAACAAGACTTGAATTCTATATCCTGGGAACTCATCTTACATGGATGATGCTTTAATAAGCCACAGAAGTTAAAAGGTTAGACTGATCTGAAATCTGTAGTCCTGCAGCTACATCATCCTTCTGATTTCATGTTGCTTAATGATTGGAGGATATTTGATCGAGTAGGTTGAACTCTTTAGCTCAGGAAAGCAGTCCACAAGAAGGAAAACACTCTTATTGCAAATCTCTGTTTTGGCCATCTCCAATTACTGAAAAGTTCCAAATGGCAGTTTTATGTCGCATCCAACCTCATTGAAATTCCTGCAATGACACCAGTGCCAATAAGTATCAGTCTCTGCCATTCTCTTGGATGATATCAGTGGTATGGAGAGAGGAGACATGTTGTATGGGTGACTGTCAGTCTCTCTTAAATTTCAACCCAGGCCTGCATTCTGGAAAGGATGTACCAGTGTCAATTCACTGAAGCAATAAAAGATAAGCTGAAACAAAACTCCCCAGCCAGAGATCTATTGTCTCTTTGGAGTAACCAAGGATGCACACTTAATCGGTAATGCTGGGTGTCAAAGAACACTAATGACATGTAGAAACTAGTTAAAAAATTATTAGTGAAAATCCTTAATTTCATAAGACAATTTGATTACTTCATAATTTTATTTTTAAGAAACAGGATAAGATATATCTATCCAAAAGCTTACTCCTCTAAGGTCACCGATTGTGGTAAGGTAAAAAAGGAAGGACTAAACTGAACACAACCAATTCCTGAAGATTCCAACGGCAGAATAGGTAAAGATCTACACGATAACAGCCAAATTGGTGAAAGAGAGCAGCACCAGTCAGGCTGGTGTAACCAACATGGATTTTGATCAACCAAGCATCCGAGAGACCGACACAACCAGGTTTGACAGATCCCGCCTGTCTCAGTCTGCTTTGACCCACAAGGGAGGCACTTCTGGCCAAGTGTGTGGGTTCTCTGTTGTACAGAGTTGTTCACTAAAATCAAATTAATGCAAATGACCTTGTCAAACACATTACAGCCATCTCCACCACTGTCACCAGGAGAGTGGAAAGAATAGGGAGAGAGGATGACGATCCTGATGGGAGCGGGAACTGACAAGTGTACAACAATCCAAAAGCAAAATAGAGAGAAGTATCAATTAAAAGAATATTTTTCCCTCCTAAATTGCCAAACCATGTGCTCATATTATATAGGAGTTACAGAAGATTGCAAAGTCATCTGGAGGCTGGGGTTGAAATCAATGGTGATTTTATTGACTAAATTTACTCTTTAGTATTCCAAGATATTTTTGTGTAATTTTGGTAAATATATCTGTTAAAATGAGATATCAGTGTTATTTTCATATTTGCATAATTTAGACAATTTATCCATCACACCTTGTATGTCCACGATGATGTCCAGTATTACAATATTTGACTATGTTAGGCCAACAAGTATTGCTCAGAATCTGGCGCTCACATCATACATGAGCTATAGGTTCTCCACAAAAAAATTCAGAAGGGAGTCACACTATTACATGAAGTAGCCTTACACATGAGGATATACAGTAGTTGATGTTTTGTTTGGAGACATAGCCTGTATTATTTAGATATAACAACGCATTAAAAAAATTAATATTTAATCTGCAAGAAAGATTTCATATACAAATATCTAGATGTATATATTAATAAAGTAAATTGTCAAACAAATTTACACATTAATATTAAAATTGCTGGAGATCTTATCAAATCACACAAATGATTTATAGGCAAATAAAATCTTATTGTTTTTTTTATTTACTCTACTTGAAATTTTTTTACATGAAAGAAAAAAAAAACCAGTTGTAGTACCCACAACACTATATTCAATATAATGAAAACAACTTAGAGATAAGATCCAAGGGAGATAAAGTAAATTTGGTTTGATTCCAGTATTGTTATTTTAAATACTAATTTTTTTTTTTACTTGGCATCCATTTTGCTTTCTTTTTACAAATCTAGTGAAACAAATGGTTGGAATAAAGCAGTCAAGAATTAATTGAAGACAAAAATTAATGTTTTGAATTAAATGAGTTTCTAGAATAATTTCATTCAATGATCTCAATATTTAGCTAAACCCAAATAAAAATTCTTCAAAATCAGAAAGGTTCTTCTGCTATTTGTTGGTAAGTCAGTGTATCCAAATTGACTAATTCTGGAATATTTGGTACAAAATAAACTTAATATCAACAGCTCATGAGGCTGTAAAGTCAATTGAAAGAATTCACAAAATTGTAAGACAACATACAATTATTTTAACAAATGATCCCAAAACCAGACCAATTCTAAATGATGATGATGGCTTAAAATAATATTAAGAAAATTAATCATAGTTTTTTCTTGTTAATCCAGTAGTGATGACGGCCAAGTAAATTTTTCAGAGTTACCTTCATATTATACATAAATATATAAAAAATGTATACAGAAGTAATGAGTCTGAGAAAGTACTTGATGAATACCAAGAAAAAACAGCCAGTAATTGAAACTATTTTAAAACATCTAAAACTGGATCAAATTTCTTGACTTGTTCAAACATTAGCCAGACTTTAAACAAGATGAAGCAAAGCAAAAAAAGCAGACCCTGACTTGATTGATTGCCAAAAAGGTTAATATGCCTGACAAGGTTAGATCACACAGAAATTGTTTGAAATGCAAACAGGTTTCATGTATATTAAACAAATACCAACATTGATCAACGACACACTGCAGTTCACAATTTACAAAATTCCACACTTTATCCCAAAGTAGAAGCAACGTGCATAGTAAAACAATAATTACACAAGAAACACAAACAATAATGGCAACAATATCTTACAGAGATCTAAAACAGAAAAATAAAACAATATTACAAGATCAAAGGTTTATATGGTTTTGTTTTTTTTTTTGTTTTTTTTTTAATGGAAAACATTTTTATATTAATAAAAAGATCACACCTCTTGGACAAAGACCAACAAATTATTGGGGTTTAAAAACAGTTGTGGATTTTAAAAGTGAAAAAGTACAGATGATTCAACAAAGCATTCCATAGAAATAAATGATCGAAACTTACTTGTCTTCGTTACCATTTGGTAAGCCTTCCTCTTGGACTGAAGAATTGGAAATACATCAAGAATTTGAAAAAAAATGTTTGGGAAAATACTTTTGTGTATAAACAAAAGTTTTTTAATAGGAAAAATCCATCATGTTGGCAATCCTGTGTTACACACCAACTATTAATAAAAGCAGACCCCAAAATTTGGCAAAAATATTTTTCAACACCCTCAGCGCCAACATTTGTTTTTTTTTCTTCTGATGTGTGTCAGACAAGAACAGAATGATGGGGATTCCGTAGAAAATAAATAGCAGTCCTGGAAAGCAGGTTTTAGTGACAGTAATGAGTGGAGGATAAAATGAAGACTAGGTGCAGACTTCCCAAAAGGGAGACATTACATAATTATTATTTACACTGTTTACATATGGACTATTGCCCTCATCTTTGTTGTCATCAAAATGTTTCAGCTACTGTGCCTCCATCAGGTGTATGTTGATCTGAGTAACCTGCAGGGAATTTCAAACTGAACCTGTTATTTAATCTATGGGGTTAGGCTGTTCTCGTTTCACTGCAGATATCTAGAGATATCTCATCTAGTTCTTATTTTAGTAGTGCTCAGTTATTGCTTACCCTGTTTCCATCAAGTCCAATTACACTGCCCTTGCATAGGGACTGAACTCACAATTAATTGTGAGTTCAATTTCTAGGAAAGGCAGTATACTTGGACTTGGTGGAAATGGGGTGACCAATAACTGACATTGGTAGATTAAATAAAAGGTTCAGTTCAGAATTCCCTGTAGATTACTCAGACCAATATACACCTGATGAAGTCCAGAGGGCACAACAGCCAAAATCTTGTGATAACAACAACAAAGACAAGGACAATAGTCGACATGTAAATAGTATAAATAATAATGATAACTCCTCATCCCAGAAATTTTGACAGAAATTACATAATTAATGTAAGTTCAATTCACATGAAGTGTCCAACACTCATGCCATACAAAGCTAATTTTTTTTTGCAAATATCTTTACAATGTTTGGCAGACAGCAATGGCTTTAGGATGCACAATGGGAATTATCAACCTTAATACTTTTAGTAGTGTTTTTTTGTTTGTTTTTTCTGCGGATGTGTTTGCCAAAAATAGAATGATATAGATTCCGAGGGTATCAATAGAATTGATGGAAAACAGATTTTAGTTACAACAATGTCAGAGGACAAAGTGAAGATAAGGTGTGAATTTCAAAATGGGGGAACATTATATAATTAATGTGGTTTTCTCCTTAACTGGTTCAGTAATGAAAGTGTTAAAGTTGTTTCACAATGAAAATGTTGTTTTAAGACGTGGAGAAGAAAAAAAACTCAACTTTAATATCAGTGTATATAATTTGAAATTAAAGATTTTCATTTAAAAAATTGGAAAATAAAAAAAAGAGAAAAGCAAAATGCTCCTCAATATGAAGATTTATAGTTATTTTTGGAGCCTTTGCTTTAGCAGAAATGCAATGAAGGAAAGTTATTTCTCAAAGTAAATAGGATTGACAAGTCTAACAATGAAAAAGTGTTTATTTTATACAACAAATACTTTTCAACATAATCTACTTTAAACCAGTATTTTGATATTAATCAGAGATCAAACATTATACAATGAAAATTTCAGATCAAAATTAAGTTAATAACTCCATGTTATATTATTAACTTTTTGATCAAAGGTCATATATTAAGAATCAAACTCTGGATATATTTATCAATGATTTATATATTGAGATTTGACAAATGGATTTAAATATTATGAACTGTAAATACATCAGAGTTGTAAATGATTTTCTGAATAATCAATAATAGAATTTAATAAGACATTTTTTTAGACCAATATCCTCATCTTTGTTGTTTTTATCATTTTTTGTTTGTTTCCAAAAAGGGATTACGGGCTGCTATAAGTGTGTAAAGTGATAATATATTAAATTGAAAAAAAATGTCTAAGCAACCCCCCCCCAAAAAAAACAAGCATGTAAGATTATAGAATTTAATTTAATCAGCGTTTGCACATCAATCAATTTCCTTGAAGATGACCTATAGAGTATAGGACCACAGCCCCACCACACTAGGTGTTGTTGTGGTTTCTATAGCAATTAAAGTTTCACAGGATGGAGTTGCTAGTGATGTTCACCCAATACAAGGCACAAGAGCAACAAGGTAGATGGTTACAGAGTAAGAGCCCCTTCATCTCCAAGCAAGGTGATAATACCAACAATTTTGACTGGCAAGCAAGAAGACAGAAAAGAGTTCGGCAAGTGAGAAGTGTGAGAAAAGAAACTGGTAGGATAGAAATTATGGTTACATCTATTTTTTTTTTTTTTATTAATGTTCACTCAATACAAGGTCCAATAAGGTTACTATGTGGCATTTTTTGACCGCAAGAAAAGACTATCGAAGTTCCTGGGGCTATGCAGGAAAGACAATCGTCAACTCTAGACTTGAAGAGGTTAAGATTTCAGTCAGAGATGTTAGAAGTAATAGTGTGGAAGAAGATTCTGGAAGGAACCAGAAACCCAACCCAAAACGGGAAACAAGGAATAAGCCTCTACTCCAGTTCAAAAGATCAAGGATGAGTGTGAAGCAGATGATAGGCAAACTGAACAGAGAAATAATTAACAAGTGTTGAAGTCCTTGCGTATATGAGGAGGTTGTCAACGATTAAGAATTCATCTCATAAAAATGGGGGGGTGCTTTTGTTTTTTTTTCTACAGTTCCCTCTACTTCTCATTTATTCATACTTCTGCTAGAGTTGTTACCAACCAAAGTTAGAAGGCCCAATTTACCCTCCTATTTAACCCTTACCTGGGGGAATAGACTGATTCCTAACTTTTCTAAGGTTATTTATGCAAAGAGTGAATAAAACAGCCACAACCTGAATTTGAACTTGACATACATTTTCCACTTTTCATACTGATAACTGTTACATATACATCTTTGATTGATATAAAAGTCACTGCATAAGGGAGTGGGGACATCAAGAAAAAGTGACTTATGAAAATGTTTTACTTTTTTGCAAACCAGACGTTTTTAATCATTTCATCCCAAGCAAGGCAATAAAACTACTAAGGCACAAGGGAGAATAATAATTTTTTTTTTTTTAAATGACATTCAATAGTTGAAATGGCTAAATGTAACCATAAGTTCTATGCTAACAGTTTCTTTTATTGCACTTCTTTATTGTGGAACTCTCTTGCTTCCCTGTCAACTTTGATCTTCAAAAATTGAAGAGCAATGTCAATCGCTATCTATTGTCTTCTTGATTAATATTCTATTGTTTTCACTACTTAATAATGTTTCTCTTTTTTCTTATTCTTTCAAACTCAGTAACTATTTGTGTCTTTGCATGAGGTGAAAGGATTAAAAAAATTCTTTCAAACTTATGAAATTTAGAATGTAGGATAGAGTTAAACAATGTGTTCCAACATTATTAAAGGAATCATTATAGGTAATGCCATATTGCATGTGCCACATCATCTTCATATCTAATTCACAATATGAGGCCAGGTTAATACACCTTATCTTTCAGCTTTCTGAGGGATAATGAATTATGTAAGGCAGAGATGTTTAACTCCCCATATTTGATATATACCCACATACTTTTGAGAATTATAAGAATCAAATATTAGCTGTTATGGTCTTCCATATCATTAATTCATATCTTTTAACTAATGTATTTTTCCATTTTTTCCCAAACGTTTTCTTGCAAGGACATAAAACTTTTACTCTCAGATGTGTAATTGTTGAGAAGGTGTAAAACTCTTGAGAATTTTGGTATTAAACTACACCCAAAGAAGACAGAACATCTCAACTGAAATGTGATCAGAAAAGTTAAAAGATGAGAATATTAGTCCATATCACTTAAGGAATAAAAAGGTGTCAGATATTTATCAAATTGACATTCAGTTGATAAAAATCTTACAGATCTTGGGGGAGATATTTATTACAAGGCCAAGTAAAGAATAACTTTTCCAGATGATTATATATATTTCTTTTTAGATTAGCATCCTCATTTTGATCAACCTACTCTCCAGCCTTCCTCATGTATATATTGTATCAAGCAACAGAGAATTCAAACTGAACACTTTATTTTGTTCAGGACAGCATGTTGTTATTCTTAAGGATTGAACTCAAAAATTTCTTCTTGCTAATCTTTTCTCTAATGATACAAACTGGTGAATTTATATAAACAACAAAGATAAGTGTTGTGATGTCCAAGTTTAGCACTAGTCAGTCGCTAAGCTTGTATTCTTCTTTTTTACATTATTCTCAGTGACCAGTTATATAGTCTTTCTCTTTCACTTATGCAAATTAGGCATATTAATTTGTCAGTATCATTACATCTCCCTGAAACGTATAGGTTTTATACCTCTAGTAATTCTTGTACTTCTTCTCATGATAGTTTCATTACTTTGCTCTACTCCTCTCTCTCCTGAACTTCTTTCTCTGGGAGACCTAGATCTATCCCACGCTACACTGTAATCATAGGCATCTTCTTGCATTATTTGATCTTCGTTCGAACTTTCAAACTCATTCTGTCCCACTTGATCCTGCATTATTTCATCTTCTGATGTTTCATTCTGTAATGGTTGTTCTAATAAATCATTAACGGATGGAATCGTAGACATTTCCTCATCATTTTGCTCTTCATATTCACCCTGGGTCCTTATTTGATCTGCATGGGCTAATACACTGTTGCCGTTTTCTCTATTTATTATAGCTGTATTGTGGCCTTTTTGCATGATAAATTCTACCCTTTCTGGATTTGCTTCTTTGTTCTTATTATACCACATTTTTTCATTTGTGGAATACGACATCATTAGTGGAGCTCTAATTTGCCTTCCCATTAAAGCTGATGGGCTTTCTAGACTTCTAGCGTGTGGTATTGTGCGATAGCTTAAAAGCAGCCTAGGTAGAAAAATTTCTACCTTTTCTTTTTGCTGAGAACATGCTTTTAGTCCTGTTTTTATGGTCTGCACCATTCTTTCCGCTAACCCGTTTGACTGAGGGTGATATGG